AAAAAACGGCGTTGGTCCGTGCCCCAAGGCGTCCTGGAAGAGAGGGCCGCCAAGCCGCCCCCGGCCCAAGGGCGGAAACTGGAGAGCTGGGGGCCTAGAGAGTTCAGAGTGCGGTGGCGTTGGTGATGTCGGGGGGAGGAGGAGGAGGAAGAGGAGGTGGAGGATGAGGAGGAGGAGGAGGAGGGGAAGAAGTAGGAGGAGAAGTAGGAGGAGAAGTAGGAGGAGGAGGGGGAGGAGGGGGAGGAGGAGGAGGAGGAGGAGGAGGAGGAGGAGGAGGAGGAGGAGGGGGAGGAGGAGGAGGAGGGGGAGGAGGAGGGGGAGATGGAGGCCAGGGGAGGGGGATTGGTGATGTGGTACACCTCTTGTGCCCAAGGGCTGGTGATCCGAGGCGGGACCGGAGGGTGCAGACGGGGGTCACATCGGGGACCTCGCGGGGCGAGTTGGGCGAGAGTCCGCCGTTCTGCGCTTTTGATCGGGCCGGAGGCTCTGGTTGGTTTGCGCCTGCGTCCCGCCCTAACCCCGCCCCCCTGTCCTCGTACCTCTCCCGCCCCTCTCTGGGAGCGGGGTCTAAACACATTCAATTCCAGGGTTATTTTTATTCGAGGGTTCATGTTTGATCGAGGTTATTTTTCGTCGGACGCACACGGCTTAGGACATTCGCAAAACATCCCCCACATATTGGTTGGTTTGTTGATTCGTTGGTTGGTTGGTTGGATGGTTGGTTTGGTTGGTTTGGTTGGTTGGTTGGTTGGTTAGTTGGTTGGTTGTGTGGTTGGTGTGGATGGTTGGTTGGTATGCTTGGTTGGTTGAGTGGGTGGTTGGTTTGTTTGGTTTGCTGGTTGGTTTGGTGGGTGGCTGATTGGTTGGTTGGTTGGTTGGTCGGCTGTTTGGTTGCTTGGTTGGTTGGTTCATTGGTTGGTTGGACAGCTGGTTGGTTGTCGAGAGAAAGAGAGATAGAGAGAGAGAGAGAGAAAGAGAAAGAGAACACCCCCCCCACACCCACCGGGCTGATTTTTAAATGTTTACCGGAACGCTTGCGGACTTAGTCGGCACGACCCCACGGCGACGATTGCGATTCGCGACGTTTTTGGTTTTACAAATCGTTGTATAAATCCGTCTCCGTTTTTACTAAACAGTTGTTGCGTGTTTTATGAACGCGATTCTGCGTTTACAGAATTGTGCCGTTGCACGTGAGGAGGAGGAGGAGGAGGAGGAGGAGGAGGAGGGCGCCATCGACAGGGAAGGTGAGGGCCACGAGGTCCGCCGGTTCGATGCCCGCGTCGCCCGCGCTCGCCCCCTCACTCTTATCCGCAATTGCGGGGTGCTACGATACGTATGGTTCCCAGATGGTGGCTGGGGTTTCTTCGGCTTTCGCGGCGTTTCGTCCGAATTTCATTTCGTCCGTTTCGATTCAAGGTGTTCGTTTCGTCATGTTCGATTCGTCCGCTTCGATTCGCCCACTTCGAAAGGCGGACGAAGCGAGAGAGGACGGAGCGAAAGAGGGCGGAACGAGAGAGGACGAACCGAAAGAAGACGACGACCGCGGACGAAAGTCAAACCCATCCACCCTAAAGTTGCCCGTTGGTTTTCTGGTCACCACTTTGCTTTCCGAAAGCCGTTCAGGACGATCCGAACGCCCCCGGAGCGTTTTCGGCGAGGCAGAGCTGCTGGAAGGCATTTCGAGGCTGGCAAACCGCCGAGAGCCAGCGAGAACGCCCGTAAACCTCGAGCCTCGCAGCCGAAGACGCCCGAACACCTGCGAGATTCGCCCTCGTCGTGCTGCCGGCGCGCTCGCTCCCTCCGCGCCCCGGGGCTCAAGAGACGGAGGTCATGTGCATACGGAGGTCAGCCAGAGCGCCTGGTCTTGCAGGATCCGGCAGCGCCAGGGCTGCATTGACCCGGGCTTGGGCGCAGGATCCTGCAAGATTTTGCAGGATCCTGCCAATAAATCCTGACTGGCCCTGATTTGGACTGGCCCGGGTCAGCAGATCCCCGATAGGGGCAGGCAGGCACGCGGGCGGGCGGGCGGGCGGGCAACCTCCCAAATGAACGCCCGTAAACCTCGAGCCTCGCAGCCGAAGACGCCCGAACACCTGCGAGATTCGCCCTCGTCGTGCTGCCGGCGCGCTCGCTCCCTCCGCGCCCCGGGGCTCAAGAGACGGAGGTCATGTGCATACGGAGGTCAGCCAGAGCGCCTGGTCTTGCAGGATCCGGCAGCGCCAGGGCTGCATTGACCCGGGCTTGGGCGCAGGATCCTGCAAGATTTTGCAGGATCCTGCCAATAAATCCTGACTGGCCCTGATTTGGACTGGCCCGGGTCAGCAGATCCCCGATAGGGGCAGGCAGGCACGCGGGCGGGCGGGCGGGCGGGCAACCTCCCAAATGCCCCCCGTCTCCCTCCTCCCTCCCCTCCGTTGCGCCCTCCCTCCCCTCCATTCCCCCCCTCCCTCCGTCCCGCCCCTCCCCCGCCCCCCTCCCCATTCCCTTCCCCTCCCCTCCCCTCCGTTCCCTCCCCCATTCCCTCCCTCCCTCCCCGCCTCCTCCCTCCCTCCTCCCCCCCCCCCTCCCTCACCTCCCTCCCTCCCTCCCCCCCCTCCCTCCCTCCCCCCTCCCTTCCTCCCAGTCACCTTGCCAGTTTGGGATGCCCCCGGGTCAGCCGCGTCCGCGAGCCCCATGCCGGCGGCGGGGCGGGCCGTGGCGGCGCCCCTGGGCCGCCGCGCGGCCGGGGGCGGCGTCGTGCCGCCCGAAGATGATGGAGAGGACCACCAAGACGGCCAGGAGGAGGCAGGAGGAGGCGGAGGCAGGAGGAGGAGGAGGAGGGGAGGAGGAGGAGGAGGAGGAGGAGGAGGCGGGAGGAGGAGAGGAAGAGGAGAAGGAGGAGGAGGAGGAGGGGGAGGAGGGGAGGAGGAGGAGGAGGAGGAGGAGGAGGAGGAGGAGGAGGAGGGAGGAGGAGGAGGAGGAGGAGGAGGAGGAGGAGGAGGAGGAGGAGGAGAGGAGGAGGAGGGAGGAGGAGGAGGAGGAGGAGGCGGGGCGAGGAGGAGAGGGAGGAGGTGGAGGAGGAGGAGGAGGAGGAGGAGGAGGAGGAGGAGGAGGAGGAGGAGAGGAGGAGGGCAAGGAGGAGGAGGGAGGAGGAGGAGGAGGGCGAGGAGGGGGAGGAGGAGGAAGAGGAGGAGGAGGAGGAGGAGAAGGAGGAGGAGGAGGAGGAGGAAAACGAGGAGGAGGAAAAAGAGGAGGAGGAGGGGAGGGGGAGGGGTAAGGAGGAGGAGGAGGAGGAGGAGGAGGAGGAGGTGGAGGTGGAGGCGCGTCCGTAGCCATTTTGGCTCTAGCCGGTGTTCCCCGCTTTCTCCGCAGCCCTTTCGCCCATGGTCGGCGGCTCGGCGGCGGCGGCGGCGGCGGGCACGCCTTGGATGGCTGCGGGGGGCTGCCCGAGTGCGTGGCGGCCCAGCGCATTGCGTGCCGCCGACATCGTCGTCCTCGGCCCGACGGCGGCTCGCCGCGCTGCTCGTCGTCGCCTTCGGGATGCTCTCGATGCTGCTCTGCGCGCCCGTGCTTGTGTCGGCGAGCCAGGCTCCTGGCAAGACAGGGAGTTGGCGGCGAGGCCCGCGCTGAAGCTCCTGTCGGCCGGCGCGGCAGTGCCAGGAGCCGCGCGCAGGAGGCGAAATGCGGCTTGGCACGCGGCTCTCGCGCCAGCCGGTGGCTTCGCCGCAGCCGCGGGCGACGGGATCGCTTGGGCAGCAGCTGGTCCACGCCTTGGCGCCAGCGCTGCTGCCCCAAGGCCTTGTCGCAGTGCGGCTCTGCGTACCGACGCCGATCTCTTCGAGCCACAGGTGACGCTGGCCCCTGGCACCTGGGAGGTCCCGCTCGGGGACCCAGCCGTGCAGGCCAAGGCCTTCGGGGATGGCCTGGAGGCGGGCTTGCGCCTCGCGGCCGCGCTCCCCGTGCAGGGCAATGCTGTAAACCAGGAGATCGAGGAGCAGCAGATCGGCGTGCTCGCGAGCGCGGCGCCCGTCGTGGAGCACGTGACCGACATGCAGGACGACTCCGAGATCCTCGAGCTCTCGGGCGCGGAGGTCTCGGGAGTGGAGAGCGTGCTGGTCGGTGTCTCTGCTGCTGGCGACGGTGCTGCCCCTCCTGGGCCCCAGACGGCCTCTGCTTCAATCTCGCAATCTCCCATAGCCGCCAGGGGAGTGTATTCGCAGGGGCATGCGGCCGTGTCGCATGTGCAGGAGGGCTTGCCCATGGCGCAGTGGGGCCGCTGGGTGCCGTCTCGGCTGCCACCCGATCCTGGGGAAGGCCGCCTGTTCGACCCCTGCGACGACAGCGAGCTCAGCCCAAGTTCTCGGAGAGATCAGTTCGGGTTTGGATCCTTTGGCGGCTTCTACTCCGACTCCGACGCCTCCGAGATCTTCGGGGTCTGAGTGTCTGATTGTCATGCCGTACTTCCTTATTTGGTGGCTTCAGTGTGTGTGCTGCCAGGCTTCTATTCTCTGTATTCCTTCCTTGGTCTGGTGTGTTTCGCCCTTCTTTCACGTGGTCTGGTCTTCTGGCATTCTTTTTACGTGGGAATGGAGTGGTTGCGTTGTCGGTGGTCCGTCAGTACGCAGCTGTCTTCCACGATCAAGTCCTTCCTGGTGTTGCTGGGCGTTCTCATTCTTGTCGGGGGGGAGGCAATTCTGGAGACTGGTGGTCTGTTGTCAGTGCTCTGTCTGGTGTTCTCTTCAGTGCGGCAATCGGTGTTCGTGGCGCCTCCCACGTAGCATTATGTGGTTGTCTGGGCTGTTTCACCTCGGTGTTGTTCTTCCTGGACGTCTTCATCATTGCACCTTTGAGGCATGTGCTTTACTGGTGTCTCGCAGTTGTGATCTGAGGCAACGGAGTTGATCTCAACAAAAAAAGTGGAGGTGGAGGCGGAGGAGGTAGAGGAGGATGAGGGGGAAGAGGAGGAGGAGGAGGAGGAGGAGGAGGAGGAGGAGGAGGGGAAGAAGGAGGAGGTAGAGGAGGAGGAGGAGGAGGGGGAGTAGGAATTGGAGGCCGAAGAGGAGGAGGATGGAGAGGACCACCAAGACGGCAAGGGAGATCTTCGACGAGGCAGCGCGTTCCAGATAAGGACCAGAAGTCGCCTATACCGCTACCCTGCTACCCTCCCCGACGACGACGACGACGACATCTCTCGGAGCACGACTCGGCTTCGCTTGTTTAGGCCTCCTGGGAGGCCCTCGTCGCCACGCCTGGATTCGCCTCGAAGTTCTGGTTGGGGGAGGCAGTAGCGGGGCGATGAACTCTGACATGCGTGGGTCGTGGGAGTTTTTGTCTGTCTCTTCGGCCTCCCGCGCCCCGGCGGGGGCCCGGAACCGTTTCAAAAAGGATCCGGTATGAAACACCAGTCTTGGGGAAGGGTCTATCTTTAAAAGTCCAGGTTTCGCTGGGGACTGGCCATATGTGCGTCGCCCTCCCAGGGGCGACGCGCGCACCGATACATCTTACAGTGTACGCGTCGTGGCGGGCGCTTTCTGTCCACACCGCTCGGGAAACGATATTCCATGAGGATGGGTATACTGTATGTTCGGGTCGGACGCGCACCTCCAAGGAGGAAATTTAGTATTAGTATGTCCCTGTGCGTCCCAGAAGGGGGGCCTGAGGATCGGCGAGCCACGACAGTTCTTTCTATATGTTCGGCCTCTGGGGGTCCCTGCTGGGCCTCGGGGCCCTCAACGAAACGACTCAGAATGAAAAGCCAGTCCAGGGGAGTGATCAGGAGGGGAAAAAACACACAGACACAATTAATCGTCTACTCCCACGAAAATATACGAAAATATGGGAAGTGGGGGGGAAAGCAAAAACCCAGGAAATATAGGAAAATATGGGGAATCTGTTTATTTGTGTGTATTTCTTTGTGTGTCCCAGGGCCCCTTTAAGTGAGTCGAGACCTCTGGCGGTCGGCGTTATGAACAAAATCATGACGTGGGGGGGGTGGGGAGGGGGGAAGTGAGAAGGAGAAGAAGGCCCTCTCAGAAGGCGGCGGGGCTTCTCAGAAGCCCTCGGGCCTTCTGAGAAGTTTCCTGTGTCTTCGGGGAAGGCTTAGAAAGCTTCTCAGAAGTCCGGGGGACCTCAGAGCCCTCTGAGAAGGCCCGCTCCTTCTCACTTCCCCCCCAGTCTCGTCGCCGATGGGTGTAGTTTTTTATCAAAAGCGGCGAGGTGATGGCCAGTCCTGCGCGTAGGCGCTTCGGTTTTGGCCGCCGGGCTGCGGTGGTCAACGTCGACATCCAGAAGGCGTACACGTCTGGCGAGTTCCCGACCAGCTACATGAGCGATCCCCACCAAATGGAGTTTGTCAACAAGCTCTCCGCGCTCGCGCGCTCGAAGGGCATGCCGGTCATCTGGACGCACGTGGCGTACATGGAGGACGGCTCCGATGCGGGCGTGTGGGGCACGCGCACGAACACACCAGACTCTCTGCAGAACATAAAGTTCGGATCCAGGAGGTCGGAGTTCGACGATCGCCTCGAGATCGACAAGGTGAGGGACGCCATCTATCTGAAGAAGATGCCCTCCTGCTTTCACGAGACGCCCCTCCAGTCTCTGCTCGTGTTCCACGGGGTGGACACGGTGGTCCTCACGGGCGGCTCGACGAGCGGCTGCATCCGGGCCAGCGCCGTAGACTCGCTGTCCCGGGGGTACCGGACGATCGTTCCGATCGAGTGCGTCGCGGACAAGACCGGCGGCCAGCACGAGGGGGCCGGGGCCAGGGGCGTGGCCTCTCTGGGAGGGCAGCAGGAGGGCCTCCTCGCTCCTCCTCCTCCTCCTCCTCCTCCTCCTCTCCTCCTCCTCCTCCTCCTCCTCCTCTCCTCCACTCCCTCCTCCTCGCCCCTCCACCTCCTCCTCCCCTCCTCCTCCGCCTCCTCCCCACCATCCTCCTCCGCCTCCTCCGCCTCCTCCTCCCCCTCCTCCTCCTCCTCGTCCTCCTCCTCTTCCTCCATTCTTTCACCTTATCAATGACTCCTCCCTGTCGCGCCTCGAGGCCTGTTTTTCAGACGGTCCGGGCGTTTCGCCTGAGACTTCCTCACCATTTACGACCATGAAGCTTCACACATGACAACAGTTTCAGAGATGGAGGGAGGGGGGTTTTCAAAATGTCGTTCTCGCTTCAGCGCCGCGCACATTCGTTTCAAAACATTTGAAGAGCTTCACGGCTTGAGGGCGGTTCCTTTTGAAACTCTTTTTCTCGCTTTAGCGCCGCGGACATTCGTTTTTAATATGTGCAAGGGTTTCACGGATTCCCATGATCAGGGTACCGGACATGGTGTTTTGAAAGGATTCAGGGTTATGAGGGTGCAACAGTTACGTTGATTCACGGTGTTGAAGTCCCAGGAATGGCGTCCTTGCACGAATCAGAATCCCAAAAACGCAACAGTCAGGTTGATCCGTGGCGTTGAAATCCCGAGAACAATATTTTGGCATGCTTCAGGGTCTTCAACCGATTTTCTTCCAACGAGGCAGTTCCTCAGTGGAAATGAACCGTTGTAGGGGCCTATCAAAAAAAGAGCTTGGGGGGAGAGTGTATTCAACATCGTTTATGACTCTTGGGTCTACATTGGTCCTCCTCCTCCTCGACCCAGCCCAGGAGCGCAACAAGTCTTGTCACGCCCACACGTGGTGTGTGTGTGTGTGGAGCCAAACGCCCAGTCCCGCGACCCCGACACCCCGCGACCCCCTAGAACTAGGGGCCGCACCCTACTGGCGGGGCACGAGAGGAGGAGAAGGAGGACGACGAGAAGTAGAAAGAGAAGAGGCGTCAGGCTCACAACGTAGACCGCGATGAGCACCACCAGCCCGCCGATGTCGGGCGGCCCCCATGCTTCCATGGTTCTACGAGCACCAGGGGGCACAGGTTACCCCACGTCGCCGTGTGGGGCACAAGCCGCGTGTTTCCGCGCATGTGTAACCTGGCCCGCCCCCACGGGCCCCTTTGCCCAAGGGGGGCCAGGCGGTACACGTCTTGAGCCTTGCCCGTAGGCCGACCCCCCAGCCACACCCTTGCCCCGCGACGTCACGGGAGGGCCACTACAGTGGTTGGGGCCTGTCCCCACAAAGGCAGGTAACACGCAGGCCGACGCGGACCGAGATCCACGCCGGCCCAGGGGGTTTAACCTCGCGGCCCCAGAACGCCACGTTCCCGAGGGACCTGAGACGGCAGACCCGTACCACAGCGGGACCACCGCTAGAGTACGGGGGGGGCGCCCCAGGCCCGTCAGGGCACCGACGCCCCTGGCCCGCCGCGCCGCCCCTGCGCAGGCGAAGTCTTGGCGGACTTCTCTTCCTCCTCCTCGATTCCTTTTCCTTATCAATTACACCAGAGAAGAACCCCAATCAGTGGATGGTTTGAAAATTAATGATATGGATATGGAGATCGATAGTGGGGTCGATCAAGAGGACGACTGTAAAGTCGATCGTGAGACCGATAGTGAAGTCGACTCAATGAGATCGATAGTAGGATCGATCGTAAGATCCTTCGTGAGATCGATCGCGAGATCGATAGTGAGATCGATAGTGAGATCGATAGAGAAATGGGTAATGGGATCCATGGCGGGACCGAGCGATAAGTAGATCGACCAGGACCTCAGAAACCTAGGAACCCCGCCGCCCACCGAAATCGGCCCGGAATCAGGAACTAGGAACCTGGGAATCCGGGAACCAATAACCGGGAACCCGGGATCCCGGAACTGGGAACCCAGGAACCCAGGCTGCTGCTAAAATCGGCGGGAAATTTTCGCCAAATCTTTCAATTACACCGGAGACAAACTCCAATCAGTAGATGGTTTGAAAATTGATTACACCAGAGAAGAACCCCAATCAGTGGATGGTTTGAGAATTAATGATATGGATATGGATATGGAGATCGATTGTGAGATCGATAGTGGGATCGATCAAGAGGACCACTGTAAGGTCGATCGTGAGACCGATAGTGAAGTCGACTCCATGAGATCGATAGTCAGATCGATCGTAAGATCCTTCGTGAGATCGATCGCGAGATCGATAGTGAGATCGATAGTGAGATCGATTGTGAGATCGATGATGAGATCGATAGAGACGTGGTGATAATGGGATCCATGACGAGACCGAGCGATAAGGAGATCGACCAGGAACCCAGAAACCTGGGAACCCCGCCGCCCACCGAAATCGGCTTGGAATCCAGAACCAGGAACCTGGGAACCCGGGAACCCGGGAACCCGGAACCGGGAACCCGGGAACCCAGCTTGCTGCCAAAATCGGCGGGAAATGTTCGCCAAACTTTTCAACTTCCGCTAGGACCCCTTAAGTGCAAGCATTGGATAGTGAGATCGATTGTGAGATCGATAGTGAGATCGATAGAGACATGGGTAATAGGATCGATGGCGAGACCGATCGATAAGAAGATCGACCGAGGTCGCATCACCAGCGGCCCCAGTCGTGTGTGCTGTCAGCGTCGCGGTGCTTACAGTATGGACCGCCTCAGCCGACAGCTGGAGAGGACGTGTCGAGGCCACGTTTCATCGTCAGCCTCTCGGTGTCGCATTGAACGAGTGCTCCGAGGCTTTCACCCACAGTCGAATCGCGCCGAACATGGAAAGGAGCTCCACATCTTAAGGGAGGCGCTGCGAGACAGGCTGAGATCGAGCGTGCCTGAGGAGTCGTGTGTGCTGTCAGCGTCGCGGTGCTTACAGTATGGACCGCCTCAGCCGACAGCTGGAGAGGACGTGTCGAGGCCACGTTTCATCGTCAGCCTCTCGGTGTCGCATTGAACGAGTGCTCCGAGGCTTTCACCCACAGTCGAATCGCGCCGAACATGGAAAGGAGCTCCACATCTTAAGGGAGGCGCTGCGAGACAGGCTGAGATCGAGCGTGCCTGACGAGGAGGGGGAGGAGGGAGGAGGAGGGGGAGGGAGGAGGACGAGGAGGAGGAGGAGGAGAAGGAGAGGAGAAGGAGGAGGGGGAGGAGGAGGAAGGAGGAGGAGGAGGAGGAGGAGGAGGAGGAGGGAGGAGGAGGAGGAGGAGCAGGAGGAGGAGGAGGAGGAGGAGGAGGAGGAGGAGGAGGAGGAGGCGGAGGAGCGGAGGAGCGAGGGAGGGGAGGAGGAGGTCGGAGGAGGAGGGAGGAGGAGGAGGAGGAGGAGGAGGAGGAGGGTAAGGAGGATGAGGAGCGAGGAGGAGGAGGAGGAGGAGGAGGAGGAGGAGGAGGAGGTGGGAGGTGGGATGGGAGGAGGAGGGAGGAGGAGGAGGAGGAGGAGGAGGACCCCACGCTGAGTGGTTTTCCTCCAGCAGCCTGGGATCCCCAGGCGGCGACTTCCTCCCAGGGCCCGAGGCCCTCAGGTAGAGAGGACTGCGGCCCGTGGGGCTGCACATCTATGCTCGACGCTTTTCCCTGTGAAGGGGCATCATGGAGCAACAAGTGTCGTCGTCATCATCACCATCACCACCAGCATCCTCTTGATTCGACCTCTTCCTCCTCGTCCCCGTCATCCTCGTCATCCTCGCCCTCCTCCTCGTCCTCGTCATCCTCGTCATCCTCGTCATCCTCGTCGTCGCCGTCGTCGTCGTCGTCCGTCGTCCGTCGCCCCTCGTCGTCCCTCGTCGCCCCTCGTCGGTCCCCCCGCCCCCCCCGCCCACCCCCGTCCTGCCGGCCGCCGGCGAGCACGAGAGCTACCACTACGCCAACCTCACGGACCTGGCGCTGAAGTACGCCGACGTGCTGCGCGCGGAGCAGGCGCTCGCCGAGCTCGGCGCGCTGGAGCCCGCGCGGTGAGCGCCCGCACCCGAGGCCGCGGCGAGGGCTGCGCCGGCGGCGGCGGGCTCGGAAAGGCACCCTGGCTGCCCGGAGGAGGAGCAGGAGGAGGAGGAGGGGGAGGAGGAGGAGGAGGAGAGAGGAGAGAGGAGAGAGGAGAGAGGAGGAGGAGGAGGAGGACGACGACGACGACGATGACGACCAGAGCAGGCCCAAGATGCACTAGCGATGCTGTAATACACCCTCCGGTCCCAGGCCTTCGCGTCAGTAGCCTCCGAGAGAATTCTTGTCGATGCCACGAGGCGCTCCCGTGAAAGACGACCTCATGTTCGCACGCACTTCAGGCGGGAGCCCTGTTTCGAAAGAAGCCGCCATCCACCTCTCGAGCTATGAGGAGTTCGTCAGAGTGGATGTGCAGTCCAAAACCCGGATAGCAGCAGTTCACATGTGCAGACCGAAACCCGGACTGGGCGCTGGCGGTAAACCGTCAATTTGGTTACCGCCGGGACCTTCGTATATCTTTTGAATTCGACAAGTCGTCCTAGGAGTTCCATAGCTAGCTTGCAGCTGCATCTAAAGCACGGATTCAGAATGTGTCGCTGAAGTTATTAATTTGGACAGCCGCCCCAGCACCCATTCTTCGTCTTTGTCGGGAGGCTCATGGTGGGCAGGGCCAGTGGCGTCCAAACTTATCGCCTACCCTCCGAGTCCAGGCAAGCGCGCCAATACGGCGCCAGCGAAGTTGGCTCAAGCATGGCGCCGAGGCCAGCGTGATCGCGGGGAGGTAATTCCCTGGAAGAGTTGGAACACGAGAATCGTCACGGTAATGTGGCAGGGTGTGTGGCCAGGCGGTACTGCCAAGGCTAGTGGGAGGTAAGTCCCTAAGCACGGGCAGTGTCACTGCGCGTGCGTCGTAGCCACGGTAATGTGGCAAGGTGCGCCTCCATGCGGTAATGCAGGGGCGACCTGTGCAGCTGGTAGAGGCTGCGGCGGTGCAGAAACCAATGCGGCGACCGCGGGTGACGAGGTGAAAAGGCCTCTTTTGTCTCCCCGTTTCCGTTCATGTGTGGCCCAGTCAGGGCCCGGTTCCGCCGTGCTCGAGCAGTATCTGCTCGACCACGACGCCCTGAATGTCGTGAAAGCAGGCACGTGGTTTGACTCGGCGGAAGATGTCGCCGTAGAAGTGGGCGGTATAGTCCCAGTCGACGGCATTGGGCCCTACACTGCGTTTTACGCGAGTGTAGAGGCGGCAGCGAATGCATCCGTGCATGGTGCTGCGCGCGCAGACTTGGCCAGTGGCACGTCGAGAGTGTTGACGCCGGTACGTGCGTCCGGTGCACGCTGTGGTGGCGAAGCCGGTACAGGCTTCCCAGGTAAGCGGCAGACGTAAGCGCCGCAAACAGAGCGGTGAAGTTACCTGCCAGGATCGCGAAAATGCGTTCTTGGAGGTGCAGCTCGAAAGGTGTGAGGAACTGGCACGAGAGCTTTCTGCGCATTCCCCCCGGATGCAACAATTCATGCGGCGTGGGCTCGCCTGGTGCGACCAAGTGGATCTTCTGAGGCCGTTGTTTACGAAGAGAGCGACTGTGGCGACCACGCTCAGATCCCACCTCCAATGTCTGAATCGCTTGAGGTCTTGGGCAGAGGCGGCGGGACGAGATCCGTGGGTGTTAGACGCCGAAGATTTCGTTCTCCACCTGCGAGATGCTCGTCAGAGGGGCGCGTCAGTGCCCAGATCTACTTTCGCATCCCTGCTGTGGGCACAAGAGATCTTCGAACTCAAGTGGCCGCTCGCCGACTCAGTGGTGGAAGCGCAGAGAACTGCGTCCACCAGGCAAACGGAAGAGTCCAGGCAACAGGCCCCGCCCCTCACCCAGGAGATCGTGGACCAACTCTTGGGCGCCTTTTTCGTTGCAGCGGCGTCTCGCGACCACGGCACTGTGATCACGATGGGCTTCATCATGGTCCTGGCTTTCGCATGTTTGCGGTGGTCAGAATTGCAACGGTCGGCAGCGTGCGCCTCGTCCCCAGATGCAATATATGCGGAGACATGGCGATCGAAAAAGAAGATCGGCAAGACCCCGTTGGCCGCGCCGCGTCGCGACTGGCAAGGGCGGGACTGGGGCACTGGGGCGGCCCGCTCTGGACGACGATCTCGATGTACGTGGATCTTCGCAGTGCTGATTTTGTGGTTCCGGCTGTCTCTTTTCATGTGAGAGCTTTCGTGAGTCTGCAGCCAGCGAGGCCAATGTCGTATTCGGGCGCAGGGAACGCTATGCGACACGCCTTGCGGGTAGTCGGCGTCGCTGGGGACGTGACGGAGTGGTCGCTGCACAGTCCGCGGTTCTTCCTGCCTTCCCTGGCGGGCCAACTGCGTTTTCCCATGGAAGAGCGCAGAACGCTGGGTCGTTGGGGCCCCGCGTCGGGCATGCCAGTCCGGTATGACAGGGCGCGGTGCGTGACCGAGTTGCTATTGAAATATGAAATCGTGGAGCGGCTTCGTGCTGGATTCAAGCCTGCCGGGGCCTTCGAGCTTCCAGGGCGCCGGGATATTCGCCCACCGGACGCGCCTGGCGCTGCGCCAGAGTGCGACGGACGAGCGGCTCCCACAGTCCCTGTGCGGGAGTCTGAGGCTGTGGCCTCCGCGAAGCAAGTCGGCCTGGTGTTGAACTCGAGCAGTAAGGTTCTGCGTCGGCAGTCAGCCGAGGAGCCGAGAAGGACGGTGTGCGCCTTCTGGTGGGCGTGTTCCCGCCGATCGGTGGAAGCAGTTTCGGGCATGCCTCAGCGCTACGTCGACCAGGGCCACGTGCGCTGCGGGAAGTGCTGGTCGCACGCGCGCACAGGCTTGCCCGAATGGTAGGGGGGGGAGAGCGCGAGCGCAGACGGCGGACCGCCACCTGGGGATACGCGAGATCCCGATGCGAGTTACGGGTCTGCCAGCGCCGACACCAGCGACGCCCGGTAAGGGGCGCGCGTTGGGTGGGCTCACCTGCTCGCCGCTTGGAGTGTCCAGGCCTGGCAGGAAGCGCGTTGGGATGAGGCCTGGACAAGGCCGCGCGCCCCCAGCCACAGACAGAAGACAGCATTGCACACCTATAGCCAAAGAGAGCCCCAGAAAAGTGGGGAGGTAGGAGGAAGGAAAGGAAAGGGGGGAAGGAAGAGGCACTGGAAGGGCGGGATGAGGTAGAGTGATTATTGTCGGGAGGCTCATGGCGGGCAGGGCCGGTGGCGCCCAAACTTATCACCTACCCTCCGAGCCCAGGCGAGCGCGCCAATACGGCGCCAGCGAGGTCCCACAAACCCGCCCCAGTGACCTTGGAGAAGACATGGCAGAGCTAGACGCGCGCCTGTCGAAGCTGCTCCAAAAGCACGGGGTGGGCCCCAGCGTCGCGGACTATTTGATGTCCAAGGGCATGGTGAATATAGGCCAGTTTGCTGGCCTGGCGGACTCCAAAGCAGACTCCGTCGTTGGGATCTGCGCCCCGGCAGGGCTAGATGGGACAGACCGTCCTTTGTGCCGGCCTGTCAAGGCAGCCTGGCAGGAAGCCGAGGCCCTCGTCGCAGGTGAGCTCGACCTGATCCGGAAGGGCAAGGGCGGCGACTGGGACGACCCGATCGACCCAGAGGTGCGCGAGAAGAAAACGGCGAGCTTCGTGGGCCACTACCACATTCGCCTCCTGGCGCACCTCATGGGGAGCGACGCCATGGCGGGCCGCCTGGTCCGCGAGCACGAGCGGCGCGCCCCCGCGGTCCACGACCTGCGCAAGGTCCGCGCGCTGAGCGGGGATCTCGGCGTCCGGCGGCGGCGCCGGCGCCGGCGCCCAGAACAGCGACGACTCCTCCGGCACCCAGACCGCCGTCGGGTTCATGTATAAGCACAGGGTGCTCATGAACACGTTGGCCTTGGCGGCTGCGCCCGACTGGGCGTCTGCGGACTGGCCCGTCCTGCTCGACTACCACGAGCGGGTTGTCCTCAAACTGTTCGAGCGCAAGAACGGCCGCAAGCCCACCGTGGACGCCGTCATTGAGGTGGACCGCCAGATGAGAGCCAAGTGGGTCGAGGCAGTCCGCAACGACAGGAAGTGCCTCACGGAGGCCGCCCAGACGCGCCGCACGGAATGGGTGCCCTTGTTTTCGGAGCTCCACAGCGACCGTTCCGGCGGGGTCGAGGGCACGCAGCAGGCGCTTCAGAAGAGGGCCCGCGTGGGTCTTCCGCGCGTGGAGTCCGTCGGCGGCAAGCAGGTCTGCACGTTCTACAACGAGGGGAAGTGCACCTGCGGGAAAAAGTGCAAGTACCTCCACGTGCGCAACGTCAAGGGGCGCGGCCAGGAGCACCCGGCGCGCGAGGCCCACAAGGGGGCGCGAGCCCCCGCCCGCCCGAGCCACGCGCCATCCCAGCGAGGCTTGGTTGACGATAGTGAAGACGTTTCTGGGCCACCACAGAAGCGTCTGAGAGAGTCATCTGAGAGTTCGCAAGGTGTGGAATGGCAGGGCCCTGCAGGCGCGGCTCCAGCGCCGGCGCGGGCTGCCCGCGTGGCGGCGGGAGGGCTGCAGCCGCGCGCGGCGCTGGCGGCCCCCCTCTCGTGCCGGAGGGCGTGGGGCCCGACGGCTTCCTGCACCGCGTGGCGTCCGCGGCGCACCCCGCGCAGGCGCCGCCTGTCCTGCGCGACGCCGCCGGCGCAGCTTACCAGCGACAGCCGGCCGACGCAAGCGAGCTTGTCGAGAGGAGAACGCGGGCACGCGCGCAGATCTCGGAGTGGTCGAAAGAGCTCAAGGATCAGAGGCGCGCCTGGTCAGAGTCGCTGCGTCCAGACGTGAAGTGTGTCATCGGCCACTTGCACGGACCGTTGCTCCAGAAACTTTTGGCCATGTCGAACCGCCCCGATGCCCGGCACTTCGAGTCCCTGTCCGCGGGCTCGCCAGCCCTGGGGCGGATTCAGACCGCAGGTGCGCGCGCGGGGGGGGTCGCCAAGAAACGCGGCAAGGCGCTCCCGACCAGACAGGCAGCGGGGGCACCACCAAATCAGGTGTCAGGCTGTCGGCGCCCGCAGTATCGAGGCCGCGGCCAGCCGCCAGGCTGGGGCAGGCGGCCGCTAGCAAGGTCGGGGGGCGGATTTACCGAAACTCGAAACCGATTTCCTCTTCTTCCCCCTTGTCCCTACTCCCCATTCCTCCGGCCGCGCAAGCAGACGGCGGTGCCCTCGTTGCCTGCTATACAACGAGGAACAGCGCCCCTCCCCGCATACGTCGCAGGTGTGTGGAGCGTAACAGAGAGAAAGCCACAGGTCGATCTGGCGGAGTGGCTCAGGGACGCGCCAGACCGGAATGTCAGAATTGTCGACGCTGTCAAATCCTCCAGAGATGCGCTGCTCGACAAGATGGCATGGGAGAAACGGGAGGCTGAGATCGCGACCCGCGCTGTGCAGGGCCCGTTCAGTGTGAATGAAGTGGACTTACCGGCCATCGCGGTGCACCCGAGCTTCCCAGCATGGGAGCGAGGTTCACAAGGTCAATGGAAAGCACGCAACATTGAAAACTTGAAGGCAAGTGGGGCCAACGCAACAGCGCACACGTGCGAGGCGGACGCCCCTGACGACCTAGACACGGCGAGGGCAGCCGTCAGGTTCTGCAAAGAGCTCTGGGGCGACGACGAGCCTTTGGCGGGTTTCTCTTCTGACTACAGCGGGGCCTTCCGGCAAAGCCCCCTGTCGCCCGATCAGATGCCACACATGTGGTCTGCCGTGCGGCACCCAGGCCGCAGAGAGCCAGTGTTGTTGAGAAATCATGGGCAGGTGTTTGGCGGCGCAGGGACGCAGTTCAATTATGTCCGAGACCCTTCAGCAATGTGCTCGGTAATGCGTCATTTCTTCGACGTCCCAATGCATCATTATAGTGGCGACGCATGGGCTGTGGAGCGCGCGTCGACTGCCCAGTCTGCGTGGTTCTGTTGGCTGTGGCTCAACAAGGAGGTGGGGTGGCGCCTCGACTTCGCCAAATCACCGCTGCCGTCGGGCACCTGGAGGTTATTGGGCGCAGAGCTCCATGTGGGCTGCCCGCAGCCCCTGGCCCGACTGCCCCGGGACAGAGTGACAACGCTGTTGGCCGACCTCGAGTGGTACCTGCAGCGGGGTCGTTTGAGTTCAGCAGAGGCCGGATCCTTGCGCGGCCGGCTGGGCTGGGCGCGCTCGTTCCTGTTCGGCCGGCAGGGCGCCGCTGTCTTGGTCCCGCTGCGGCGCAGACAGTTCGACGATAAAGATCGACGCGGTTGACCCGCTTCCTTGCGAGCCTCCTTGTCTTAGTTCTGGGCCGCAGTGTCAGAACAGTCAGGGCGCGAAGTTCCCTTCGACCTCGGGGATTGGCCCCTCCTGGTCACCGTTAGCGACGGAGAGGGCACCAGGCGCGTCGCGGTGGGCATTTGGAAGCCGCGCGACCCAGGATTTCGCCCCATGCTCACGGCTGCCAACGTCCCGTCCGAGTGGCTTCGCCGGTGGTCAGATGACGGCCGCCGCGGCAACGCCATCCAGGAGATTGAGGCAGTCGGCCCGCTTCTGGCCCTTGAAACGTGGCCTTCCCTGTTGACCGAATGCGCGTGGATTCATTTCATCGACAACGAGGGCGCCAAGCATTCCCTCATCAATTGGTCTTCCAAGGCTGTCCACACCAACCAGATCATCTTCGCTACTTCGGAGGCATGCCGTGCCCGGCGTTTATATCCATGGTGGGAGCGCGTCTCCTCGGCAGACAACCCGGTTGATAGGGCTTCCCGACGTGGCCACAGCGACCGCTACGGCCAGAATTGGGAGATCGTCGAGCCCGTCCTGCCTGCGCTGCGGAGCGGGGAGCCCGATGCGGCGGAGGCGTGGGGGCGAGGCCTGGACAAGGCCGCGCGCCCCAAGCCACAGACAGAAGACAGCACTGCACACCTATAGCCAAAGAGAGTCCCAGAAAAGTGGGGAGGTAGGAGGAAGGAAGGAAAGGGGGGGAGGAAGACGAGCTGGAAGGACGGGAGGAGGTAGAGTGATAATTGTTCTTTCCACGTTGTCTTTCGCATCCCTTCCTCCGCCCCCCGCGTTGTTCTCTGTCCCGTTGTCCTCCGTCTTCCTTGCCGTCCTTTCTCTCTCGCTTGCCACTTCTCCCCGCGGGGGCTGCGGGCGCCTTTTTCGTCGCCCCCGCACAGGGGGGGCCAACGCTTGAAGGGGCGCCATCCTCCACACAGGAAGACCAAGGCTTGCAGGGACCTTCCCCCAGACACGCCAGTGCCCCCACACCCCATGACTTAATATGGATTTCTCTTACACAGGAGGAGGAGGGGGAGAAGGATCAGGGGGGAGACAAATATGGAGGGGGGACAGCGAAAGAGAGAGAGAGAGAGAGAGAGAGAGAGGGAGACTCGAGGGAGCAGCGATCCCTGTGACACCACAATGTTTGCGACGCCTGGGGGCCCCAAGCCTTATGATTTCGCTTGGATTTGGGAGATTTCTGGGGTGAGAATCCCAGAGACCTTACGATTTCACTTGGATGTGATGGTTTTTGTTTCCAGCAAAATCAGATCAGGAGCCCCTCAGGGGTCAGAATCCCATAAATCCACATGAATTCACAGGTTTCGCGATGTCAGGGTGTCCCAAACCCTGTGATTGCATGTGTTGTTTTTGATTTCTGAGATGAGAATCCCAGAAACCATATGATTTCATTTGGATTTTGCGGATTTTGGAAATTCTGCCGCCTTCCAACACAAATCCGCACAAGTGGGCCCAGACCCACCCAAATCCCTAAAAAATCAAAATGCCATCATACGGTTTCTGGGATTCTCATCCCAGAAATCAAAAACATGAAATCGTAGGGTTTGGGGCACCCTGACATGGCGAAACCTGCGAATTCATTTGGATTCTTTGGATTCTGACCCCTGAGGGGCTCCTGAGCTGATTTTGCTCGAGGGCAAAGAATTTCAAACATCAGAAAAATCCCAAACAAATCGTAGAATTTCTGTGATTCTCACCCCAGAAATCCCGAACATCCAAATGAAATCATAGGGCTTGGGGCCCCCAGGCGTCGCAAACATTGTGGTGTCACAGGGGTCGCTGCTCCCTCGAGTCTCCCCCTCTCTCTCTCTCTCTCTCTCTCTCTCTCTCTCTTTCGCTGTCCCCCCTCCATATTTGTCTCCCCCCTGATCCTCCTCCCCCTGATCCTCCTCCCCCTCCTCCTCCTCCTCCTCCTCCTCCTCCTCCTCCTCTTCCTCCTCCTCCTCTTCCTCCTCCTCCTCCTCCTGTGTAAGAGAAATCCATATTAAATCATGGTGTGTGAGGGCACTGGCGTGTCTGGGGGAAGGTCCCTGCAAACCTTGGTCTTCCTGTGTGGAGGATGGCGCCCATTCAAGCGTTGGTCTCCTCTGCGCGGAGGCGACGAAAAAGGCGCCCGCAGCCCCCATGGGGAGAAGTGGCAAGCGAGAGAGAGAGAGGACGACAAGGAGGACGGAGGACAACGGGACAGAGAACAAAAAGGGGAGCGGAGGAAGGGATGCGAAAGACAACGTGGAAAGAAAAAAGACGAAGAATGGGCCACGGAAGCGGGAGGATGAGAGAGCGAGGGGGGGAGAGAGAGAGAGAGAGAGAGAGAGAGAGAGGGAGGGAGGGAGAGAGAGAAAAAGAGAGAGAAACGAGGCGCAAAGGGATGCCATGGGGGGGGAGGGAAAAGGGGGGAGGAAGGAAGGGGGAAGGAAAAGATGATGGGGATGGGGTGGGGAGATGGACGACGATATTGAAAATAAGCATTAATAGGAAGAGCGGGAGCGAGCTGTGCACAGGCCGAGGCCCGAGGGGAAATCAGCGGGTGCTGTGGGTGTTGTGGGTGCCCCGAGGCTTCGCAAACATTGTGATTTCACAGGGATCGCTGCTCCCTCGAGTCTTCCCCTTTCGCTTTTTCTCTGTCCCCCTCCGCCTCTGTCTCCCCCTCCGCCTCGGCTCTCTCGCGATCTCTTTAGTTAAAGAGTTTAAGGTATTGCAGCTCCAGCCCTGAAATTCTTACAAGCGAAAGCAGCATGATCAACTCCTCAAGAAGAACTACGAGACAAAATGTTGCAGGAAGCGACGAAGTTTTCGGTCGTAGCTCGGATAGGAGACCGTGCTCAGGTCTGGCACGGCTCTTGCCCAATGCCCTCGCTGCTACGAATCGCTTCTTGGGCCGGTGACGGCCGCTGTCCCGGAAAGTAGAAGAACTGGCTCACTGTGCCCCTTTTTGGCTCTTTGCTCTGCTTGGAGCACCTCCGTGTCCTCCAGCTGCGTGAACGCTAGAGGCTCCTCCGCGAT